GCCAGAGTTTGAGCAATAGCTGGGTAGGAGATAATCTAACAATCTTTTGCATTTTGAGTCCCAAGAAGGTTACAAAGGTAACATAAAAGAAATACATTCCATGAACTATTAACACAAGTAAATAAGAATATCACTATGAAAGAGTCAGTGACATACCAGAAGCTATGGTTTTACCTGCTTGACAGTGCTGTACAAAAATACAAAAAGAAAAGAAAATACACAGCCCCAGCACAGATCTGCTGAGTACATATTAATCAAATAAAATACCCACTACTTGTCCTATATAACTCACTCCTCTCTGCAGTGTATTTCAATCAACTTACATATCCTCTGTGCTAGCAAAGCAATTGTTGTCTATTTTATTTACCTGGAGACAGAGCTGTGGGTGACAACCATGAAATTAAGAATTTTGTAAAAAAAAGTCTACTTTAATTGAGTACAAACTTGTCTTCTTCCTGTGAAAGTAGCTTTCTGAGGTGATAGACACAGCCATGAGCAAATACTTAGATATTTCTCTTTCCTCAAGAGCTTTGGTGTTCTGAAATGAATTAATTTTCAAAAGCAGGATAATACTGCTGCTGGTGGGACAAATCTACTGTAAATCTCTACTTGGTACTTCGTAAGAAGAGTTCCAGACATATCATAAAATGCACTTTCCAACCCAGTAACGATGCTGTTTCTCTACAGAGATGAATGCAAAGAAAATTGGGTTTGAAGAGTTCCTGCCCATGTTGCAGGCAGCTGCCAATAATAAAGATCAAGGTGGCTTTGAAGACTTTGTTGAAGGTCTTCGTGTCTTTGACAAGGAAGGCAATGGAACAGTCATGGGGGCTGAACTCCGCCATGTCCTCGCCACTCTTGGTAAGTACTGGGAGAGGAATTATATGTAAAAGAACTGTAGATTAATTTAATTAAAAATTAAATGTCATAGCTTTTATTAAATTAAAAAAAGATCCTAACTAAGTCAAGAGCAGAATAAAAATAAAAAGTTTTCTAATGAAGGATAAGACTAATAGAAAAAAAAAGAAATTAAACTACCCCTCCAATTTTAACCTAATGGTTTATTTATATAACATGTTTAATCAGTTGAAAAAAATAGGGTGTATACTGGTATATGAGAAAGACCTAGAGAAATAGGGTGAAGAGATGCTGCTAAGGGAACAGTCAGATAAAAGAGGGCATAGTCCACAGAGGCATAAGGGTGGAGAAAGAGGCTCAGAAGGGACCCTCCCTATCTTCTCAGGCTGTAAAGGAAACACTGGGAGATTTGTAGTTTCAGACTTGCAAGATTCTGTTAATGTGGCTTTCTACATTAGAATTAGCTCATCTGGCCATGTCTCTGATCTGGTGAACCTAGAAAGGCTGCCAGAGAGTTGTGTGAAACATTTCCAATTTGGGATCAGAGCAGAACACATTCCCCTCCCCTAAAGTATTGAGTGAATTCTATTTCAGATATTTGACCTTAACTGGGTTAGGCTGAGCCCTCTGAATTCAAAAAGGAGGGCTAACATTTCCCTCTCAGATGGGGCACAGACATGAGAGGCTATAGAGCAGCCTGGCTTCAGGCATGCATTTAGTATTTCCATTTTCTTTTCACAATCCATGCCTAAAGGCTCTAACCCAAAGCAGGCTGCCGTGGAAAAAAATAAACAATACATCATATTTTGGTAATGCCAAACAAATACAAAACCCAACAGGTGCAAAGAAAGCTGGAATACCAATCTGTCCAGGTGTTCCTGAAAAAATGGTATAGCTGCAATTTTTGCCTGTCATTTGCTGCAGGGAAAATCATTAACCTGGGAGAACAGCAGACTGGTGCAAAAAAAAATATCATCATTTGATTAATGTCCAAATGTCAGGCATGAAAAACAAGGTCCACATATGAAGGTTCAAATTAAGTGATTTATTGCTCAAAGCCTATGCACAGGAATCTTCTCTACCGGTCAGCATCTGGTTAGACTTAGATAAAGGTCAATGGCAGTCAAGGGGGGTTGAACATAATTCACTTGTGGCTATCTAATGACTCTAAACTGATCCCTCTTTAAAATACAGGTACCTCCCCCTGGCTCTGTCAGTCCTTTTCCTGCACCAACTATTATTTTCAATGAGAAAAAAAAGGATATTTGCTTAGTTTTGTGAAAATATTCACTACACAAGCACTTGTAACTGCCTTAGGGATACAAATGGAATTGATTTCTGAGTTCAGGGAAAACTCAAGTTGTTTAGGAAGAGGCGAACATAATTAGAATGCTGCTTTTGGAAAATTCAGTTCCCCACCTATTCTGTGTGTTTGTGTGCTTGGCTTAAATGTAGGATAATATCTCTAAATTGAGGCTAACTCACAGCATGGCTATTATTTCCCTAAATGAGGACCTCAAATTACTCCAATAATTGCTGATGTGAAATTGGCCAGGTCAACCAATGTCCCTATTAGTAGGTAATGGTAACTCAGTTCAGAGTAAGAGGTACAAGATTTTAAAGAAGAATTCTGATCTTCAATTGTTAATTTTTCTGGGCAGCAACATCAGGGATATCCTCTCTTCTTCCCAAGCTTGTCAGGGGGCAGAGGTGTGATCAACAGAGACAGGGATGGATGTTGGTAGGCAGCCTTTCACCCAGTGAGTAGTGAAGCCATGTGGTTTCTTGAATTTGAAGCAAGGATGAAAACTGTTGTTTGCTGGCAACAAATACTTGCTTGAGATTTAATGCAAGCATTTCTCTATTGGTTAACCTTCCAGCTCTATCTCACATAGTCACATCTCTCCTTGCTTAGACTATCTGGTTGTTTCTTCCTACATCTCTCTTCAAGATGCCCTTTACATCACTATAGTGAATGAGACCATGGCCAATGTGGAGACTTGAAGACAGTGGAGAAATAGGCAGTAATGATGGCCACAGTGTTTCTCCTACCATTTTATTCCAGATGCTAAAAACGGACTCATTTTATTATACAAGGAACAGAGGAAAGGTCATCTACTTAATTATATTATTTTTGTGAGTAAAGGGAAATATTATGAGCTGAAAGAGAAGCTGTGTTATTAATACTCTTTTATCTGCATATTTAGGTGAAAAGATGAAGGAAGAAGAAGTAGAAGAACTGATGAAAGGGCAGGAAGACTCCAATGGCTGCATCAACTATGAAGGTAAGGGTAACTATGCAAAGATAGATGGATGTGCTTGGAAGAGACCAGTGGGGCTTCCTGAAGAAATATTCAATTGTCTTCTGCTTTCAAGAAAAGGCCTTCCCAAAGTTGTCATGATGTGTTCTATTAGGGCCACGGAAGATAGGTAGCACTCAGCGGCTAATCTGTACGTATTGTGTGTGTGTGTGGGGGGGAGATTGAGATTGAGAGATGGGAAGGGAAGGGAAGGGAAGGGGATTTTACTTGTGGAGCTGGGCAAAAGAAGTGAAACATCTTCTCCAGTATAGGTAATACGATCAGAGACTCTATAGTATAAACTAAAACAGAGTGGAAGAAGGTAAAAGACCTTTAAAGTATGCCCTGTGACTAGCACAGAATGAGAGAAGAGAAATAATTTGCATCTTAGTCACTGAGGACAAGCTGAAGATGGAGGCTTTTATTGTTTCTTCTGAATATCTTCATAGTTCAGCTTAAAAATAGATTACCCCTCTCAAAATCTAAGACAAATATTTATCTATCCCGGTCCCTATAACTAACAGCATATATTTAGTGTGAGGAAAGCAAAAGCAGACTCCATTTTGTTCCCATCATGATGATAGTACTATTTTCTGAGTTAAAAGTACGACATCATGCTTGGTTGGAGAAATTTTTGTTTTAACAAATTGCCCTTTATTTCTTCTCTGCTCTACTGCACTGTATCAGGGAGATATAAGCAACTGTAAACATGAAGTAGTGGAGGTCGGGGTTGAAGAACAAGTTTCAATGTGTCTTTCACAACATTTGACATGTGTTGCAGATCTAACAGGCTGCATTGTCGTTTTCTGTTTGGCTGGTATATTTGCTAGAGGATTTGTTTTTACCCTGACAAGAAAATGCAATGATAAACATTATTCAGCCAATATCACTGAAAGACAAAAAACAAACAAACAGAAAACCAAAACAAAACAGCAATTCATTTAATTGTAAATAAAGCTTCTTTATTCTCTGATGGATTAAAAAAAATATTAGAAGTTTAACAAACTTGAACATAAAGCAGATCAGATACTTCAGAGAGATTTGCAGTAGATTAGCAAGGCTCTTTTATTTCCAGTAGTTAAAAAATAGCTGGAGGTTGGCAAGTAGTACTTCTTTTTTAAAGAAAGATAATCTTGGTTATGATTAGCCTATTTGTTCCTACCTCTGCTTCGGAGTTCTCAGTTCGTGATAAATGGTATGACTTTGCTGCCTTTGACTGCTTTTATATATATTTATATTATGCAACTGTAGTAATTTAACTGTATCAGTGTGTAATATACATATTACGTTACATTACATTACATTCAGTCCTGACCATTATTTTACAGTTGATTTTAATGATTACAAACCAAATTCCTCAATCTTGGAATTATCTACTTTGTTATCATATAGTCCTCTCAATATGTGCTAAACACAGGGTATTATGGTTACATTCACCCTTCAGGCAAACTAATAGTACTTGGATAGACAGGTTTTTCTACTGAGGTAAAATAATCAATGACCAAAATAGTGACCAGATAACAAAGAAGTGAGAGGATGTTAAAGTCAGACTCCTTGTGCATATGAAACACCTCCCTACAACTGCATGATGTTTTCACATGGCACATTGGCAAACATCCTGTCAGTATGATACCAGTCATATGTTTGCTGGGATCATGGGGAGAAATCTTGAGAAACATCTTCCTTTCAGCTAGAAGACAATGATCAAGGGCAAACACCATGCAGGTAGCTTTCAGAAGAAAAACATAACTATGGAAACAGGTCAGATTATTGGAAGGAGAAAAAAAATGTTAGGGAAGGACAACTGATTTGGACAAATGCATCAAAGGTTTTTAATGAGTGAGATGAAGATGTACAATGAATGGAGTTGACTAGAACCTACATGAATAAAGTACCCAGAACATTGGTAAATCTTTTGCTGGCATTTCTATACAACTATAAGAGCATTCAGATTCCTGGAGAGGTGGCTATGATTGTCCTTTTTCCCCCTAGATTAAAAAAATATCCCAAACACCAAGCTTCATATACCATTATACAGTTTGATAATGGGGATCAACACATCTTTTTACCTGGGTAGCCTTATTATTCTAAAATATTGGCGGATCATTAATGGAGTGAGTGTTGTTAGTTCAAATTGTTCTGATCCATCTAGTTCTGTTTTATCACAGATAATAAAGTAGTGATAGCAATTTTATTTATGCACAGGAGGGAGGCAAGGAGGATTCCCAAAGTTTTCCATTATGTATTAAAGAAAGTGATATAACAACACAAATACATCCCACAATGTCTCAGGACAGAACTCCTAATGAGTGGGGGAGCATCGAGAAAAATGAAAACCAAGAAGAAAACAGAGCAGAACAGTCAATCCATGCCCATTTTTATTACAGAGACTTCTCTAATAGTATACTAATTCTGTATTATTCTACAGCATTTGTGAGGCACATCATGTCTATCTAAATGGATTTTTCAAGACACATAATTCAGTAAGTCCTTTTTCTAAGCATGCTGTTCTTGGATAAGGTGATGATTTTGGGGGGAAAGGTGTAACTGAAATGCAACAAGTATATGAACAGGTCACAAGGCGACCAGGGTAATATTCCACTGATAGCAGTTCTTAAGTCTCTCACTAAAGTCAAGATGAGGTAAAGTATCTTATATTCAGTCTCTGGTACTCTTTTCACTCTATTCTTCAGCTGAGAATGCTTTCAAAGAGGCTGACAAGTCAACAAGGATCAAGAGAATCCTTTCCTTGGGCTTACAGGCTAAGAGAGATAACATGAAACAGGATGAGGTGGGGAGGAAAATCAAACATAGGTATCAGTTACCAAATTCTTATGAAAACTGGTGGGTTCAGGGAAAGGAAACAATAGAAGTTGTTCCTACAGTAGGAAACCATCTCTTCTATTCCTGAAATAATGGCTGCCAGGCAATATATACTGTATTGTGAATAGCTTCCTATGATACAAATGCTACAGCTTTAATTCATTATGCATTTCTTTACTTCATGGACACCTTGATGATTCCAACCTTATTATAAGTGGCCTTGAATAAGTTATTATCAGCCTCAGTTCCTACACCTTTAAAAGAGCTAACAAAGAACTAGAGAGAGGAGCAAAAACACAATTATTTTCTTTACTGTTAAAAATACAAATTCTGCCTTTGTCCTCCCTATAATTATGATTATAACTCATTTTTGCTTTTTGACAGAACAAGATCATCAGGCACTTGAAATCTGTGTATCTAGGAAACCATTGTTCCACTCAGTAATGTCACCCTGGAACTTAAATGGACTATAATTTATGCCTCTTGACCTTCCCTTTTGAAATCATCAGCAAGAAAACCTGCTGAATCCCAAAGTTGTTACACTTGACCAATTAAACACTTGCCAAGGCAACTGCGAAGGACTTCACCACCAACTGTCAAGCCCAATAATCTTTTTTCCATATTGTCTGCCATGAAGGCGGCATGCATTCTTTTGGGAGGGGAAATCTAATAATAAATCCCGGTGGTCAGTGTATGGCTGGAAATTTTCAGTTCTGTAAATCCCAATTAAAACATAATTGAAGTCTTAATTTATTTTCTCTATGTTTTATTCCATACAATAAAGTTTTATGAGAAAAATTATCCTGAATAGTTTGATGAATGTGAATCAAAATGGGATTTCTGGAACGTTTTTTTTTTATACTACGATGGTTTCAATTTCCCATTTGGAAATACTGAATTCTTATCCAAGAATGCTTCTGAAGTATGATCTGCCTGTAGTCTTCAGTCATCATGGAAGGGCAGGTGGCTGTCAACTGAAGAACAGCAATTAAAATTTCTTTTTAGAATAAGCATAGGTTTCTGTGGTTCACAGAAATGAGAGAGGAAAACAATTCCACAGAAAACTGTTCCTACCGATGAGAATTATAAAAATCAGAAAAAATAACCATGTTTCCCAAAAAATAAGACCTATCCTGAAAATATACCCTAGCTTGATTTTTATGCAGGCACCTAATGGAAGCTCTACCCCCCAAAATAAGCCCTAGTTAAGAGCCTGCACATCTGGCCGCCCACCTATTCTGTCTTGTTGTTCATGGTGCCACCGCCACGAGGTAAGGTGAGGCAGATGGGGAGGGGGTGGAGCTGCCCCACACACCCCAAACCTTACCTCAGGGCCCCCACAGCCAGGCCTCCCACACCCTCCCACGCCCTAATATCTGCCTTGCCTCATGTGATAGCATCAACAGCCCCATCCAGCAGGACCCCGCATGGCCACCGCTGGCCCACTTCTTCTGCAGCCGCTCACTGCCGCTTGTGCATGTCGCCCCCAGGCTCTCTTTCATCAACAGAGGCCTTCAGGAAAGGCCACTGCAGCCAAGAACAGAGCCCCGGGTTGACATGTGTGTTTTGGGGGGTAGAGGCCTTCAGAGGCCTTCAGGCATGCATTAACCTGGCACTCTGTTCTCAGCTGCAGAGGCCTTTCCTGAAGGCTTCTGTTGGCGAAATGGAGCCCGGGGGTGACATGTGCGAGTGGCGGCAAGCAGCTGTAGAAGAAATGGGCCAGCGGCAGCCATGCGGGCTCTGATGGACAGGGCTCTTGGTGCTGCCACTGTGAGGTGAGACAGTGGAAAAAATAAGACATCCCCCGAAAATAAGACCTAATGTTTTATTTTTGGGAAAACACAGAAAATCTGCAAATAACAGAAAAACTGGCAGTATATACATAAGCATGTTCAATAGTATATTTTAATAGTTTTACAAAGCCATTGGAAATTTATAAGCTAAATTGCACATCATAAAACAGGTAATCATCAATTCCACTTTCAAATTCATAATTTAACTTTTAATTTGGTTGATGAAACAGAACAGTTGAGCCACTACTTATTTTCAAATCCATTGGCTCTGTGCATATATATGTTTGTTGAAATTTAACATATGTGTCATAGATACAGTGCTCTGCTAGATTAGTAGGCAGAATTGAAGACTCTTAGGTGTTATTATTAGTGCTCGTAGCATGAGCATGTGCCACAGCACATTGTTGCTGTGATTGTGAAAGAACACAGAGATTATGCTGCTATTTGAGATTGCTCTAAAATCTAGTAACTAGATTTGTTCAAATATGCAAGAATATAGATTTATGAATAGCCTTTGTGTGAATATTTTAAATTATGCACTTATGTAGATGCCAGTAAATAATCATATCACCCTCCCCCTCCAACAAAAAAGAATCTTCCTTTCATCATATTTCTCTGTTCCATCTGTGGTAAAACAAGCAGAAATAAAGGCTGAGGTTGCACATCACACAAATCTACAATCATCTTCATGTGATGTGTAAAAAATGAAGGTAACTGGTCCTGCAAATAACCCGGCCCTGTGCTACAAAATGCTTTTTTTTAATGTGTATACTTGTTCAAGATATATAGCACCTTGATTTGCATTTGGAAGTCTATAGGGAGCCAGTGGCCAGTCTAGCTTGCAAAGCAGTAATGTTACCAAGATGTGCCCATAACTAGTTTTGTCACTGCATTCCGGATCAGTTGCAACTTCTAGTCCTATGTACAGTGCATTGCCATACGTCAAATGGGAGATCACCAGAACATGAGTAACCATAAGCAGGCCCCTCTGATCCAGGAATGGATGCAACAGTCATATAAGAAGAAATTATGCCAAGGCCTTCTTGCTGATGGCTGCTCTTCCAGATACCGTAATATTCTTCCAGAACACTCTTGGCAATAGATGTTATGAAAAGACACAACTGAATAGAAATAAACAATTATCAAAAAGCAAGTGACGAAAGTAGAACAGAAAAGGCATGAATATTAAGAAACTGGAGAACATAAGGTATTAGACATGGGGAGTCAAAGATATTAAGATGCTTGTGCAGATCCGCCTTAGAACTAATCAATAGAATAATTAAAATAAGACTATATAATTATTGGTGTTCACATGATCTCTGTAATAACCCTTCTTTCCTCCCAATGGGTACATAATAAAACTGCCTTAATTCCCTAGTCAAGAATCAATTTGTTCTCCACCAGCCTGACTTAACCTTATTTAATATCTTCGTATGAAATGGCCATAACTCAAGTGCTGGCAGGTGCAAAGGCAAGTGGGGTTTGAGAAATGATGATAATCCTTATATGTGAGTCACTAGAGATTGGACAGGCATCCAGTTTCCATGTCTCTCTCTGCCATAAGGAGCCCACCCCTGCTCCTATTTATAACCCTGGCAGGTGGTCAAACAGATACAGATTCATCTCCGCATCTGTCTTTTTCTCAGACAGTCTGCCAACAATTTAAATATTCTGTGAGTAGAAGAAAAGGCAAACCTTCTCAAGCTAGCTTGAAATAAAAAAAATAAACAGTTTGTTTTCTTAGCTTCAGAACACTTTGGGCTTGCTCCCTCTTCAAACAAGGCTGTGGTTTGTTCAGTTGGCTGCTGGAACCCAACCATGAGAGTTGATAAAAGTATGGGAAGGCTTAGTCTTTCCAATCCCTTTGTGTCCCTATTTAACATTGCACACTTGTATCAATACAAAAAGGGGGGAGGGGAGAGGAGGGGAGGGAAGATTCTGCTAAAAAGTCTCCCCAATCTCCCCCAGTCTGACTCACGATCAGAGGAAAAAACACTGAGGTTATCAATGAATTGGCTTACTATGCTATGTAAATAGAACCTTATTCGTGAAGACCTAGCTGCACCATATTTGGCCATTATATCCAGATTCAGCAGAAACCAGCAGAAAGTGGCATCCTCCATTGTGCTCTCCAGAGAAATATTACTTTTCCTGTCCTCCTTCCAAACTGCTTGTGTGCGTTACGACTTATTTATTTCTGCTAGTAATTTACTATAAGTTCATCTCTGGTCCTAACTTCATTTTCATTTTTTTATTTTTTTGTAAAAAAATCTTTTTGAAAGAAACCCTTCAAAATAATTTATATTTTAACTGAATGCCACAGTGATTCATAATGAGTGGGAATAGCTATTTTACAGTTTTAATACAAGTAAGGCAGGATCTGCAAGTTATTTTAGTTTAACAAATGACATGTTATGGCTTCTGTGAGCATGCTTTGAGTAAAACTAGGCTTTGTTTTCACTTGCACATTGTGGCAACTGCTCTGCCTTAAAAGCACATTGCTTTAAAATAAAGTTTTATAGTACATTCTTTTGTATATGCCAGCCAGGATCTTTAAGGAGAGATGCTGCTGCTGCCAATGATGATTGCTTGTTTATTTATTTATTTATTAATTTTTATCCCACCTTCATTACTTTATAAGTAATTCAAGGTGGCAAACATAGATAATACTCCTTCCTCCTCCTATTTTCCCTTGAACAAAAGCCCTGTGAGTTGGGCTGAGAGAGAATGATTGGCCTAAAGTCAATCAGTTGTTTATTCAAAGGATAATGAGATCAGGTAATGGGTGAGTGATGGGTGCAAATTCTGTAAGATAAGTACATAATAGACAAACATTTAATAATAATAATAATAATAACAACAACAATAACAACAACAACAACAACAACAACAACAATAATAATAATAATAATAATAATAATAAAGTTGGAAGGGACCTTGGAGGTCATCTAGTCCAACCCCCTGCTCCGGCAGGAAACCCTATACCATTTCGGACAAATGGCTGTCCAGTTTCTTCTTAAAAACTTCCAGTGATGGAGCATTCACCGCTTCTGGAGGCAGGTTGTTCCACTGGTTAATTGTTCTAACTGTCAGGAAGTTTCTCCTTAGTTCTAGGTTGTTTCTCTCTTTGGTTAGTTGATCCATTAGTATAAACTGTAAATAATATTCAGTAAATTTTATTCCCTAATAACTGTTACATAAAAATTTCAGTCCTAACAAACTGCTGGTTAGCATATAAAACTGAATATTGATAAAATGATTATTGCTCAATGTTCTGTGCAAATGGATTATGTAATACAACATAGTAAAAGCTTAGGGAGTTTAAATCAAAAGAGGTTAACTGGCCTAAAGTCACTCAGTGTGTTTCCATGAGTGAGAGTGAGTAAGGGTAGTAAGATGGCTCTCCCAGTCACATTGTTATTATAAGAGAGAAATGGAAAGTGGGAGAAATTGTACAGACATGTTGCAATTAGTGCAATTTCAAATAGCATGATATTCAATTTAGTGGGAATTATAAATTGATACTATGTCGCATTTAATGCAAGCCAAAATTCAGTTAATGCAAGGATAGTGCATGTACTGCTGCCAGTGGTGTTTTAAATGCTAAACTGGGAGATGGTGAGTTCTAGTTCCACCTTACCCATGAAACCAGCTGAGTACCCTGGGGCAATCATTCATTCTCATTCTAACCCACCTCACAAGGTTATTGTGGAAAAAATAGGAGGAAGGTGTGTTTAGATATGTTTGCCACTTTGAGATATTTGTAAAAATAATAAAGATGGGATATAAATAAATAAAAGTTAATAAATAAATAGTCACATTTGCAAAATAGAAAAGAGGAAGTTTCCATTCAAGGAAACCTCAAAAAAAAAGAGGCTTGTTTTGAAGAATTGTAGCAGAATACAAGAGATTGCAGGTAAGCTTTGGATATTGGTTATCCTCTTTTATTGTTAAATAATAGTTCATTTATAAAGATATTAAAATGTGTGTTTAAAAATGGTAATTGCCTATGTCCATCAAACTGATACCAGTTACCCGTTTTTTCTCAGAAATATCACTTTGAATAGTGAGAATTTGAATAATGTGACCATTTCTTAGGTTTGATTAACCACACCAGGAAAAACCTACCTGTACAGCCCTTAGCCCCTTAGATCAGACATGTCAAACTCGCAACGTCACGTGACGTCGCGTGACGTATCGGAGCTTTTTCGCCGTTGCCAGCAATGGGGTGGGCGCGGCTCCAGTATGATGAAACCGGCCCGCGGGCCGGCAGTTTGACACCCCTGCCTTAGATGAAAGATGACCAAATCACCTTGGGAATACACAAAGAATTCAATCACAGTGACACTATGTGTCCTGTTTCAAAATTTATGGTGTAATTATTCAGGGTATATGGTTGCAAGATTCTTCACACACGCACACACACACACATACAGACTACATGCACATGTGTGTGTATAAAACGTATTAAAATTTAAAAACACAAATATAAGAAACTAATACAAACCAAGAAATATATAAAAAGGAACAAAAATGAAAAAGGTAATATTCAATATTAACCTGGTTGGCTGGATTTATGACATACTGACATAAGCTAAGCAGATGGCATGGATTCCTACAATATGCTTGGCTAAAGTACACTTGGGCAGTTTGTGCTTCAGTGTGTTATGTCATTTTAGGTCAAACATGGTGTACAAGGTTTTCGACAGAAACTAAAAGCTGCAACAGTAATTTTCTGTTCTAAAGTGCTGTGTGTGTGTATATATATGTACTGTATATATGTATATATGTATGTATGTATGTGTGTGTGTGTGTATGTATGTATGTATATATATATATATCCTTTCAAACATGCGAATGTGTATCTTAGGCTTCAATTTTCAATAATTTATATAGCAATATGTATTCCTTCACTGCCATCTGGTGGTTCATTTGTCTAGACTAAAAAAGAGATGCTAGAATTAGAATTAGTAATTACTAATAAACTATCCTGACTGGGCTGGTGGAACAAGCTAAATACATTTTAGCTTACTGAGCATTTTGAGAAAAAAATCCAAATCATAATTTGCTTTAATTCTGCTTTGTTGAGCAAGCCACTTTGGATGTTTAGGCAACATTTTTTCTTTTAATTTTTTTCTTTTTTTCTTCATAGTGTTTTTCCACAAGTACAGGATCCATTTTATGTGGAGGTTTTTGATTCATTGCTTGTGACAGAAATTGACCAACTGAGCCTGATGTTATTGGGCTAAGAGAGTGACTGGCCCAAAGTCACCCAGTCAGTTTCCATTTCTTTATGTTCTTGATGAACATATCACCAGAACCTGACAGACTACACCCAAGTTCTGAAGAAGCTGGCAGATGTCATCTCAGAACCATTGCAACATATCTTTCAAAAATCCCGGAGCACCAGGAAACTACCAGAGGATTGGAAAAGAGCTGATGTGGTTCTCATCTTCAAAAAAGGGGGAAAAACAGACCCAGAAAACTACAGAACAATCAGTCTAACATCAATACCTTGGAAGATACTGCAAAAGATAATAAAAAAACAGATCAGCGAAAATCTAGAAACAAACAAAGTTATAACTAGAAGGCAGCATGGGTTTGTTAAAAAAGATCATACCAAACCAATCTTATTTCATTCTTTGATCAAGTGACTAAATTGGTGGACCAGCAGAATGCTGTGGACATGGTATATTTGGACTTCAGCAAGGCATTCGACAAAGTAGACCACAACCTACTTCTTGAAAAGCTTTAAAAAAGTGGGATAGACAGCATCAACATCAGATGGATTTTTAAGTGGCTGACAAACCGCACTCAAAGTGTAGTCATTAATGGTACTACATCTACATGGACAGAAGTAAGCAGTGGGGTATCATAAGGTTCTTTCCTAGGCCCAGTACTCTTCAACATCTTCATAAATGACCTAGATGAGGGAATAGAAGGGGAACTTATCAAAGTTGCAGATGACACTAAGCTGGCAGGAATAGGCTCAGGATCCAGAGGGATCTTGACAGACTTGAACACTTGGCCTTATCTAACAAAATGAAATTCAATGTAGAGAAAAGTAAAGTCTTACACTTAGGCAAGCCTTACACTGCCCAAGCGCGAGTGATGGTGGCTAGAGAAATCAGACTGATGGAGAAATGGGTTACACAGACACATAGAGCTAAATCATAAAGCATGGGCTGGGGAGCACAATGTTGGGTTAGCTCATTCCAACATGTGCACCCAGTCAGTGGCAAATAATGCATTTCTTAATCATGACCCTGCAAGACAAACCCTCTAAGGATCGGTCATTGGTAGGCAAGGGCAAGCATTGAGGCTACTTACTTTTTATTTTGTTGGTATTCCCAGCCTGGGACTGGGAATACAACAAAACAAGTTCAAGGTTGGTTGGGCCTTACAAGGTACAAGGAGGCTCATCTGCAGAAAAATGTATTAAATTCCTGCTCAGGTTGTCCTTGTTCTGGTTCTTCAATCCCAGCTAAATTGACTTGTGCTTGGTACAACTTGCCTAGACTCAGCACCTGAAAAACAACAAATGGACATACTAGTCCAATTTATGACAATATCATTTTCCCTGGCTATAACTAAATGACTACTTATCATAAGAAGGCTTTGATTTGCATTATTTTTATAGCTTTTGTTTAGAATAACACAAGAGACATTTCAAGGAGTTAATTGTGACACTGACAAAGGAATTACAGAAGCTTTTTTGTGCAAATTAAAATTCAGGGAACTCCGTACAACCTCCTACTCATGGTAAGAGTTTTGATTAGCACTGTGCACAAGCATTCCTATTTTTATTCTAGGTTTTCCCATTTGAGAGATGTCAGATTTTGACATGTAAGTTTGTGCTGGGACCTAAACTGATTTCTATGAACTTCTCTAGAAGTAGCCTCTATCAGAATGATTGATAGTTCTTCTCAAGGCTTCTGGGCCTTTGAAGGCACCATATATTACAATTGCAGAACCTGGATCAGAGGAGTGTTTTGAGATCTAGTGCCAGTGCAATTATTCTTGGTTTCAACAGCTTTTACTGGAACATGACTGTGATAGTAAATTGCTGAAGTATTTCTTTCCCACACCCCAGTTGTAACGCTGAACTGTTTATTCAGTTGCGTAAGCTTGGTTTTAGCTCGGGAAGAGCAACAACGAGCAACGCGATAGCAAAGTATACTCTCGGTAGCAGTATTACTCGTCTCTTATTTATGCTTGACGTTGTTTTTTTTTCAGAGCTATAGAAATAAATTCTTTACGCATTGTTTTCTGAGAAATTGTCCCTTTTGTCAACTTCATCTCTCCGCCCATCCGTAAAAACTGCAGAGAGTCGCTTGCCCGTTTGGGGGCTCTCCTGGCTTGTTACGAGGCTCCAGGACCTCGAGCACAGTACGGTTATTGCTTCAAGGAAGCAATTAAAGGCAACATGGCCGCGTCCGTCTGCAAGGTGCTGGTCAACCAGGCGTTGAGATCTCTCTGCTCTCCCGGAGGAAGGAGGATCCTGGTCAGGTAAGGACTCTTGTCGCCTGGGAACAGCTTCACAAAGCGTGGCAAAGGCAATAACATTAAAAAGGCTGAACGGGTAACAGTCCCACTGAAAAGTTCCTTCCAAGCGAAAGAGCCACCCAACCTTTCAGTACGTTTAACTAACATTTTCTAACATTTAAGACTGCCCCGATTGTAATGATAGGCCTGACATTTCCCCCTCTGTCCCCCTCTCTTCCTAAAATATAACGGCAGAGTTACCGGTAGTAAGAAGAGAGGAAGTTTTTAAAAATCTGTGGCCGCAGACCGAATATAAGAATAGAGGAGGTGGGCTGCAAGATTCCGGACGACCATTACAGGGCAACAAAGAGATACTCCTAATTTACCCCTAATTTAATTCTCTACTGTCAGTGTATAGTCAGCTGTATTCTTGCAGCCTGGAGCAGGTAACCTCAGTATTTGCCCATGTGCTTTACAAAATAAATTGAACTGGAGGAGATTCTCATCATTTGACATTCACAGCTTTTGTTAGGGATCTTAGATTTGGATATGTTTATGGGCTTTGGTTATTTTATCACTAGCGACTTTTATTATATAGCTGGTGATCACTATGGCAATGTAAAACCTGTCCTTTTTCATATTAATAATGAAACTCTATTTTATGTAAATATGGGAAATTTGCCAGCTGTGAATACTGTATAATAATTTTTAGATAGTAATTGGAGTGTGATAGGGCTGGTCCATTGGAATTGGTCTCTTCATGATCCGATTACAATTAGGAGCGGATTGTGTGTCTTTGTGAGTGATACTAACAATAATATTAGATCATAAATAAAATACAGATGTAATGTTTTCCTTATATGGCATGTTTCGTAGAGGGCTTTTTGTTATTTTGCAGCCTGTTAATGAACCTATTTCTTTGAAGCCAGTACCATTTTAATAGTAGAAAACTCAAGCGAACTATTGTGATGGTTCAGAAGTCCTTCCATGGAAGTCCTTTCATGAAAGATCAGAGAGGAAGAGAACAGTAGTGCAGAAGAGGAATTGAGTAGGAAAGAGCTTGAGAAAAATTGGGGAGGAAAAAATTGTATCCAAAAATTAAAAGAGGTTAGGTTTGGAGTGCCCAAACTGTGGATCAGATCCCGCTGTGGGGCCACAAGCAACTGGGAGTCATTGTTTTTAAAAATCAGGTTTGCAGAAGCAACATCAAAACTGTCCTTCCTTCCTTCCTTCCTTCCCATTTTGGGTCTTGCTAGTTAACAATGGTTTTAAACATTACATAGTTTATATGTATAACTAATTATAAATACTAGATAGTTAGAATTGTTATGTGTTCCTGGCTACTTTCCTTTGTGACCAGAGGCAAGCTTGCCTGACCAATAACCAGCCAAGACACAGTGAAGGCCTTTTGTTTAGTTTATTGCAATAAGCGGGGAGAGAAGCTATCAAAGCTTGGTTCTCTCCAAAGTTTCAACCCAAAATATTCCCTTTTTTATACAGCCCTGTCCCGGCCTATACATCCCTCCTCTTTCCCCAGGTACTATGAGGTTACACTGAGGTACACTCTTTCTGACCACCTCCTACTTATTTCCTGCTACATACTAAATCATACATCACATGTACATTAATAATATAAAATATTAGGCATATTCAATTGTTGGTTTTCAGTTCTGGGTCCCTTAGAACAATAGTTTCTTTCCTGTTTTTCAGTTTAGTTAAGTTTTCCTGGCTAGCTATTTCCTCTTACAGATGTTTTTATAGCTTGTCTTCTTCCTTTCCCACTCTAAGACCCAGCTAATTTTTGCCTATGTATTTATCTTACATCCTGTCTTTATGCTATCCTTTCCTGTTTCCCAGCCATTATAGTTTTTGGTAAGCTTGTTTGTCCAGGCAGTAAGTTTCCACTGCAGCAAATTCAACTTTAAATTTCTTTCAATATTAAATTTTGAAGACCTTTACTTCTATCAGAATCTTAGAAGCCAAACTGTAAGTATTTATATTTGCCATGCTGTATGCTACATGGGAGCACCTACCCTGAGTTTTACTTCCCATGTTGCTTGTGCAAGTCAATTGTGGGCTCATCTAGTCAAAGTAGGAGTGAGTTTTGTCAGCACTCCCGATCTGCAAAACAGGTGAGTTGTTAAAACTTGCTCCAAGCTTTGCTTCTTGTTTGGCTTGTGCAAGTCTCAGTGGGAGGTTACAGTACCACAAAAATCTGAGGATCTGTGTGATACATGTGTAGCGGGGACTGCCTGAGAGTGCTTGCAGGAGCTTGACCGGGAAGGAAAAGATTGGGACAGCTGCAGTTGGCTTTGGGTGTGGCTGGCGTGAGTGGAAGGAGGAAGGATAGAAAAGGAAAGGAAAGGAGAAGGCCGGGGTGGTTGGAGTTGAGAGGAGCAGGTCTGGAAGCTTATTTTATTTTTCTATCAAGGGT